AAGGATCTCAGTCTTGTCTATAAGCACTGGGTCATGCTAGCTTATAATGCCTTAGAAAAAGAAGGAAAGACCTGAATTAGAAACGCTGCGAGTTCAGAAGTCGATTTGCATTCACAAAGTCATTGCATTTTAATTTGTCGTTTTAGGCAGCGAAGGCTTTTAGTTTTAAGCTGTCAGCCGCTATTATTATTCTTGCTCTTGTCGCTGGTTAGGCTGTAGCGGGATGGTAACAAGAAGAGAAGAAATTCTTTTATGTTTCTGCTGTTTTATACATTGAGCGACGCTTTACAACGCAGATTGGATGTGTGATGTTGGTGGTATTAGTGGCGCTGCCAACTGTCTCTGGGAAGGTGTAGATATTGTCCTTTTAATTTTGCATAAAATTATAATATATTTACTCTACCTGCTGATTTTGTTTGCAACCGTTTCATTTAGCGTCTAGCCGCCATTTTAAAGCTGTTATACACTTTACTGCAAAAGTGGAGGGAAGTGTCGTTTTTTTTTGTCGTAATAGGAATTTGAATCATTATTTGGCGGAAGTGAGAAAAAACCACTTTACTGTTTGCGGTGATTCCGCTGTTGGTTTAGTGTCCAGCTATTTGACCGTAAGACTTCTTTTTTCAAATTTTGAAAAACTTGAGTCTGGAGCGCGGAAAAAAATGCTGCAGTTGCTGAAGGGAAGGGGACGACAGACGACTTGTGGAGAAGTACCGACAAGTGGGCTTGTTTAGTCGACCGTGTGCTTCAAAAATAATTTTTGATAAGTGAAATTCAAGTCGACTTTCCTGCGGTGGTTTTTTTTTTTCTTTCAAGAGCATGCAAATACGGATGACGAATTTGAATTTCCACGATTTTATTGTAATACCTCCGTGAAGTTGTTATCATCTCTAATGTTTGCCTTGGATTTGCTGTGATCGCAAAAATTTTAATCATCTTCAAATAAACCTTTCCTTGACGCTGTTGCTGTGAAATATGCTCACCGCTAGTTTTTTTTTTTTTTT